TCATAAGAGAGAAGATAACACTTGGTGTGTTAAATGCACAGAGGGCAAGAGGTACAGCGTAAAGACAGTGGTAATTATTAGCTAAAGAGACTTTTACTAGTAGATGTATGATGCCATGAATATAATTAATAGTGTCTCAAATCTCACATACTCAGGAGTTCACAAAAGTTGTAGGGTTCCACAAAATGTGTGGAATTTTGCTTCTGCATGTGTCTGCAAATTATGCTTGATTATCTGTGGTCCTGGTAAGGCACATCTCCAAAACAGAATAGGCAACTTGTCTAAACTAGTTTGCAACCTGCAATTTGAGGATTTGGGCATAGATGAGATTGCATACAAATGTATTAATGTGCTGTGAGCCAGCAGGCTGGCTTGCAAACTTTTCTAATACTCATTGAAGATAAATTAGCATACGTGCTGCTGCTGGGCAGTGGTGGACCTCGTAAGTTGCCAGAGAAGCGATAACAGCAGCTTGTGCCAATGGCTAGTCTTTTGCACATGGGGCGTTTGCCAGATGATTGCACCTGTGGCAGTCTTCTCTGGAAGATAACATATATTTGCAGACAAGCTAGGCAGGAAAAAAGCCTTTGTGGAGTGAATGTTCAAGCCTTGCACCACAAGTCAACGCTTTCCACGGAGAGACGTCCACATACAGACCCCTTTGTTCTATAACAGAATGATCAGGTTCAGGCTCTTGGCTGTCTGGTGCCTTCCACCTTGTAGAAGAGACTTTTTAAAAATAAGTAAAACAAGACAAAGCCCATAATCTACTAGCAGCCTGAAACTGTTCCAGATTTTATTTCAGAGAGTCACTGAGCCTAATGACAAAGTCATCTGCTCTAGATGATCTGTCAATAACAACATCACGTGTAATTCCCAGATGTTAGTTGTAGAATTGTATCATCATCATCACTGATGACAAACTGCTCACATGAGAGAGACAGTTACGAGATGCAAACCCTTTGATTAGAGAATACATTGCAGTCAAATGGAAGATTTTCAGTGCAACACAAAGAAGCATACCAACTGTGCTACTGCCTGCCAAATATTTATGCCATCACCTATAGCTTTGGGCAACGTTTTAAAACATGAGTCCTTATTTGTGGATAGTATTGCTGAAATTTTGTTAAATGCCTTTCTTTTACATTAAAATATGATCACTAGTTTTTACACATTTTCAGTATGGCTTGGATTTGTCATACAAGTTGCCTTACATGAGAGAAACTTTTTAAAGCTTGGAAACTGTAAAATAATATTCCTAAAAATAACACTGTAAATAACTAAAAATGTAGGAAATTTCTGATTTAAAAAAAAAATCTGAATGTCACAAAATTCTATCCAATCTGTTTTTCATGGGCCAGCCCCTCTCTGTTGAATAGATTTTTAGCTGCTGTTCTGTGGAGTATAAGCTTAATATCCACTACATCCTCTATGAGGGAAGCGTAGCCTGCCTTTACAAGAGGATGGGCTCAATAATTTGTTAGTTCTTTTTTATCTCCAACTACCATGATCATCCTTAAAAGCAGATGACTGAGTTTCCATTCTGTAGCCTCTCATATGTGGGGAAAATCCACTGTAATTAAATCTTATAAAATCCTCTTATTCCATTATAAATAATTTTCTGACATAGGTAATTCCCCTGAGTTTACATCATAGCCCAAGGAAAACAAAGAGCAAGAGCAGTTACTTACTCCCTCTTAAATATTTGGTATTTTTGGACAGACTTCTGCCCTGATTACAGTAGCTGCAAGCTTCACTGAAATTAATTATTTTTGAGACAAAATTTGGATTACTGATTTTTCTCACTTTTAACATTACTTTGAATAATGACTAAACAAGCATGTATTTTAAGCTATGTAAACAGCAAGACAATAGTTGTCTGAATTGCTCTACAAAATGTAGTGTTGTATTTCTTATTTTGTACTAGAAACAAAAGCACATAAATCCTGCTTGACAGGATTTGAGATTGAAAGTGTATTGGCAAAAGAAGAGCTGTATGCCTCATTAAGCAAATTTACCAAAACTAAAGGATCCTCTTAACTTGCAAGTATGAATTATAGTAATATCATTAATAATTTGCAGGGATACAATACAAATTCCAAGCATATTGCAAATTTTTATCCCCATTTAGGGTTTGGGATAATGGAGCACACAGACAAATACTCTTGTCCAACAGTACATTATGAACCAGAGAGACCTTTGAGTATATACCCAGTCCTTTGACCTACTTGCTGGATGATGCTGCCTTCCTTGAACGTGAGAACTTTGAAACTACACCACCAGAGAGCACTGTGCTCGCTGTGCTACTTCTGCACAGTATGTTTAAGGACCTCTTTTACTTAGTCTTTTTTTTTTTTTTTTCTCCAGTAGAACTCTAGATGATTCTTGTGATTCTATTGGAATTCCCAGACATCTTGGTATCATTGCCCCAAGTGCACCAACAGCCCGTAGTTACCCTGAGCAGCCTCACCTAGGACCTTCACCCCACTTACAGCCCAGAGAACACATTTAAGCTCAGCCCTGAGCCTGGGGTGTTTGAGCTATGTTGTACGGGTGCTGGCCTACACTCTTGTCTCCTGGGTGGACCTGAGACCTGTGCTGGAGCTAGCCTGTCTCCTTCCAGTGTAGCTTGTGTCTAGGCCTGTCTGCTTTTGCTCCTGACCAGGCTCCTTGGATGGCCCCCATGCCTGATTCAGCCCCTCACCATGTCTGGGATGATTGATGAACCCTGGCACCAGCACTCAGCTCTGCCTGTTATGCTCAGATGTGCTGGCCTTGTTGTGTGAGGGCACTACTTGTGCTGGGCTTGTTGCGCTGGGCTTATTGTGTGAGGGCACTACTTGTGCTGGGCTTGTTGTGCTGGGCTTGTTGTGTGAGGGCACTACTTGTGCTGGGCTTGCCTGAGCCTCACCCCTTCTCAGAACAGCCAGACCTCTCTGCACCTTGACATGTCTAACTGACTCATGATCTGGAACACCTCCTG